TTTGACGTTGGATCTAAGCACCCAAAGTCTGTCTGCGCAATGCTCAGTTGCAAGTATTTGGAGTTTCCTTGTGTCCTCGGCTGAAAGTTTGATAAGTGCTCATCTCAAATCCTTCTTAATTAATAGGATAACAGGACTTTCCAGGTTTGACGGGTGCAATCCGTGGTGAAGAAAGCTGTTGCATGTATAATCCAATAACAGGTCCATAATTTTCGTATTTCTTAAGACCTTGTTTTAGGACTTTCAACCTCGATTGCTCAAAAAGATCCGAGCATTTCTTCTCACCTGGCATAAAATCTTCTGCCTTTACTGAGTTTAATCATGCAAACACAGACATAGATGGGTAACAACAAGGCCTCTGGTCTATTCAGTATTATAGGACAGACGCGCATATATATAGAATAGATGAAGTGTTAGCTACGACATACCAGCATCGTGATAGAAGGTCGCTTGATGTGATCGCCAGCTCACACATATTACATAAATGGGAGGGTTTTGCCTCCTGGTCAGACTACATGGGACATACAATGACATCTCAAATACATCAAGAGGATAGAGATCCCCCAGCACTTCACATGGACAGACTGTCATGCATTCACAAGTAGTTGGACATACCAACACATCTCTGCATAAGGCCGCTGGACCCGATCTCCACAAAACACACTCAAAACAATGTAGAGGGACGCTGGACCCGTTTTCCTGCAGGTTGAGCTGGGGAAAAAAAAAAAAAAAAAAAAAAACTGAGTTTAGTACATACGTAACTCCTTTTTTTTTTTTTTTTAATCTTTCATTAAGAACCTTGTCATAGATTGAGGTTGTGAATTTAATAGGTTTAGGTAGCGCTCTCGTCCATCTTTGAATATCTCAATGATATTTTCACCTGGAATATCTAATCCTGGGAACTTTAATGCATCCCCTCCTTTGATGTAATTCCCAATAGTGCGACCTCGCCCCAGGGGGTTATGCCCAACCCGGCCCCTCATTGGGGTTGGGCACAGCCCCATGGGCTAGAGCAAATTTTGGTGGGAGGCTCCCCCCCCTTGCACCGGCATGCCCAGTGTTAAGGAGAGGAGGAGGGGAACTATGATCTCTTTCCTTTTTCAGTAAAAATACACTGACGGAACACACTGACCGTGGGATCACAAGTCATTGCAGGGCAGATTTGGGTCGCTCTCCTGGCACACTAATCGTTTTTCTTTCCTAGCTCGTTGCCAATGGGACACAATAAAAAAAAAAAAAAAAAAAAAAAAAAGGGACCACAGCCCTGGTGGTTGGTTAGCAGGATTGATTCCGTAACCAGGCTGAGGGTGTACTCACACTAGCTCTATCTTAAATGTATCGGACCGCATTTACGGCCGGACCTGGATGTATAGGACTGACACACTAACTTTTTTTTCTATGCTAGCTCACTGCGAATGGGACCACAGTCCCCAAAAAGAAACAAAAAAATGGGGACCACAGCCCTGGTGGTTAGTTAGCAGGATAGATTCCGTAACCAGGCTGAGGGTGGGGTTTTACCCCGCCAAAACATGACTCCTAACTGGGTCAAATTTAAATTTGAATTTTGTCGCGCTCTTTTTGACCTGCTGAGGGTTTTTTTGGCCCAGTTGTCTCCAAATCCTGTCCCACCAGCGCCATGTGAGGACCGCCCCTGGGCATTGCAGGAATATATGGTTTCGGGAATCTTCCGGCGGGGGAAGGAATTCCAACAGGATTTGCACCACGGCAATGCCAAACCCTTTCGCTCCAGGTAAGTGCGGTCTATTAACCAATTCGTTTGTGGGAAGGCAGCCGTGTTCTATCTGCCATTGCAGTGAGGCCAACTTTTTTTTTTTTTTTTTCCTTACTTTGCTTGCTTAGATCTTGTTACCATTAACCATCGGATGGGGCGGACGGTTTCTCGTCCCGCGTTCAGGTGAGCCATCCAACGCTCCCTCACGATTTCCTTGACGCTGACCTTAGGCCTCAAGTGTCTGTACGTAGCTTTCACTGACAAGCTAAGTAGTTTTTTTGCTCGCTCGGGGCCTTGCTTTGCGTGCCGGGTTCCACTGCCACTCCTCCGGGTTGAAGGGGAGTTCTGCAAGAGGGGTTTCTGGGCGGACCACTACTCAGTCCTCCTGATCTCGGATTACCCAGATCATGTGCAGATCTGCGATCCTCCACAATCTCCCCACACCTGGGTGATACCTTTCAAGCACATTGTGACCAATGTCGAGTTTTCATAAGTTGAATGATTTTGTGTATTTTAACTTCATTTTGGAATGAGTTTCAGTATACATTGGTATACTTGCTTTTGAAAGAAGACTCTATACAAATTGTTATTTTTTAAATGCATGGCCCTGTTTGTCTATCATGAAGCGAATTTGATAGGCAGCGTTGATGGCCTCCAAATGTTCGATTTCATGGTCGCATCTAGAAACGAGAATTTGGAACCCAGATATACTCCCCCCCCCTTCATTGTGGTTGACCGAGGGTCCACAGGAGACCACTATGGCACACTCGTAGGCCAAAGGGGCACACTCGAGGTTAGAGGATACCTTTATCTCACCTCGTAGGCCGAAGGGGCCGTCATACGTCTACACTTTGCATCCTAAGGGGAGCCGCTCCCCTTAGGAACTAACTATATCCTCCCCTTAGGAACTAACTATATCCCGAATTGAAATTAAATTGGGTGAGTTGCCGTGAGTACTGGCGTTTTAGCATGAAATCAATCATGCTCTCCTCTTTCGAGTCAGTCGTTATGGGGTCTATGATGGCGCTAGCGTTCCTTGAATTGCTTTCTTTTCTACATACAATCCACCGACTTCCCACGGTATTGCCGCGGTTCTTTGTTTGTATAATAAGAACAAGAAACGGTTCCACCGTTATCAGCCAGTTTCCTTCCGGTGGAAGAGGTCCACCAGAACTTCATCTGTGTGGAGGTTTATACTGGATAACCTTTTTTTTCTTTTTTCTTTTTTTCTTTTTTCTTTTTTTCTTTTTTTCTTTTTGAAGCATTGACTGCTATCTAAGGGGAGGATTGACTGTTTGGTCTTACCCAAATTACCCCACCCCTAAATGGACTGCTCTTCAATGTTTTTATGTCTGGACTGTACAGCTACCTAAACCCGTTTTTCTGTTTACCTCCTACCTGCCTTTCTGCCTACAGTCTTTCAGCGAATAGAAAGTACGGTCTTTATGCCTGTATTTTGGGCAACGGTTAGTCTAGATACAGGGATAATGATGGAATGCTCTATTCGGGGGGAGATGGTCGTTACTGTTCCTCTCTTCCATCCTAGCCTCTGATTCGACTCATTTGATTATTGGTCCTGCTGGCCCACCCTAGGTCTTTACCAATCCCCTGGTCTGTGTCCCACTTCGCCTCTACCAGGCTTCTTCGTCTTCGTCGTCGTCTTCTTCTTCTTCTTTCTTCTTCTTCTTTCTTCTTCTTCTTTCTTCTTCTTTCTTCTTTCTTCTTCTTTCTTCTTTCTTCTTTCTTCTTCTTTCTTCTTTCTTCTTTCTTCTTCTTCTTTCTTCTTCCTTCTTCCTTCTTCCTTCTTCTTCTTTCTTCTTTTTTCTTCTTCTTTCTTCTTCTTTCCTCCTCCTCCTCCTCCTCCTCCTCCCCCTTCTTCTTCTTCTTCTTCTTCTTCTTCTTCTTCTTCTTCGGCTTCGGCTTCGGCTTCGGCTTCTTCGCCTACTTCTTCTTCTCCTCCTCCTTGATTCTTCTTTTCCTCTTCTTCTTTTCCTCCGTGGTTCTTCTGCTTCTTCTCCTTTGTTCTTCTTTTTCTTCTTTTTGTGGCACACACACACACACACACACAGAGAGAGAGAGAGAGAGAGAGAGAGAGAGAGAGAGAGAGAGAGAGAGAGAGAGAGAGAGAGAGAGAGAGAGAGTTCAGCAATCCAAGGGTGGTCATAATGCGAGATGTTTTTCCGACTTTTAATCTGGGGTGGAATTGCCCTCGGGCTCATTTAGCTTAAGGAAATGTTATTCAGTCATGCTGTTGCTCGCTCCTTGTCACTAGTAGAGCTCATAACTTGCCTTTCTCGAAGTCGCAAACCTCTATTTCCTTTTTCTCTTCAGAAACATCATTAAATCATTTTTTTCCCAGGGTCCATTTGCTCCAGCCTTGCACAAATCCTGAAATGAGAACAAACAGGTCTCCAGGGTTCAGAAATTTGGCAGCTCTCAGGGTTTGAGCTGTGAAACCAACTGGTGGAACCAACTGGCGGAACCAACTGGTGGAACCAACTGGTGGAACCAACTGGCCTAGTTCAGTTAGTACACCCCGGAACTGTTGGAATAGAGACCCGAGTTCGAACTCCAGTGGAAGCAGATGAGTAAAATACTAAAAAACTGTGTTGTGTTTTTCACTAGGCCGGGCACCTGGGCAAGTCGCGCAAGGGGGAAGTGCACCCCAGGGAAGTAAAAAAGTACGTGACTTTTTTTTTTTTTTTTTTTTTTTGACCTGCGAGGGTCTTCTGCGCATGCAGAGAGGACCCCAAATCAGGGATCTTTTCTTTTTTTGAGTGGTGGCTGTGAAGAGGGGGGAAGGGGGGCATAAATTGCTTCAGAGGGGCTAAAGGGGTTTAAATGGGGGTGCCTTGGTCTAATTTTGTTGGTTTTTTTTTTATCTTTTATTCAGTGAGGAATTCAGATGTGACACTCAGCCAAAAGTTTATTTGCATTGCAAATCTACACAACATTTTTTTCCTCGGAATTGTTTGAACTTTGAATTCAATGAATTATTTTTACTTTTTTTTTTTTTGCGCTGGGGCTGCCCGGAACCCAGCCCGGGGGTCATGCGCGGCTGGGCAACCGGGCAAGAATCCGGGCAGAAGTTGGGTCCCTGGGCGCTCGGAAAAACTACCTAGCTAAAAAGGAAAAAAAGAAAAAGGTTTGAACTGTGGTTTGTGCCCTGAAAAACTCTGGTACTCCATGAAATGGGCTGGTCTACACAGTAAAGTGTGCGTGACCTTTGCAGTGCTTTTCTTTGGTCTGTTTCCCTCTGACATGCCAGGGTACAGCTAGCCAGAGGGCCCGCCTTCAGGCTGTGCAGCGACGCAACGCGATCGCAGCTTTGTCATTACTTCAAGCAGCAAAAGTCCGTAATTACAATATCAAAGACGACGCGACAGCGGAGGGCAGTTGCGCGCCTGCCAAGCAGGATCCCACCGACTCAGAGAAAAAGAAATACGTCTTGCAGTGAGTGAAGCGCGCACCGATTGTTTCTTCAATTTGTCTTTAGGAAATTCATAGCAAATGGGACAGGGGCAGGGACAGAGACAAATGGGACAGAGACAGGACCATAAGACTGGGACAGGGACAGGACCAGAAGACTCAGACAGAGACAGGGACAGGACTACTAGGCGCGGGGACAAATGGGACAAGGACACGCCCATAAGATTGAGACAGGGGCAGGACCAGAAGACTGGGACAGGGGCATGTGGGACAAGAGGTAGTGACAAATGAGACAGGGACAGGACCGTGACTGCCACGGGGCCATGGACAAATGAGGCAGGTACAGGACCATAAGATGAGGAAGGGGATGGACCACGATTGCTCTCCTTTTGCTTTCTTAGAGGGAATAAGAGAAAGTCCTATCCGTCGCAAGAGCGGCGGCGTGCCTCACCAGGCTCGTCCCGGGGAGCCAAAATAATGTTGTATTTTTATTCTTCCTGGATTGGAGAGGCGGTTAACGGAGGCCTCAATGGGTATAATCAGTCATGTGGTTTCTTTTTTTCTTTTTTCTCTTTTTTTTAAGAATCCTGATAGCCACAGACGGAGCACCACAAAAGTCTTCAAAATAGCTTCTCCAACAACACCTGCACCTTTTTTCTTTTTTCTTTTTTTTCTTTTTTTTGAGGTCATTTGAGGTCATTTGAGGTACCAGGGCCATTACCCGGCGTCGGCTGAGAACAATCTGTGAACACGATGAGATTCAGAAACATGGGGACGATCCTGAGTATCTAATGACCTATTGGGGAATTACTCATGCAATAACCTGCCACAGAGGTCCTAGGAATGCTCACTACCCTCAGGTTCCCTGACAAAACCTTCTAAGACTTCCCAACACCGTCTTACTCCCTGCTGAGCTCTTCCAGGCCTCACGCCCCCACCCTGCTGGGTTACAGGGCGACACAACTCGCCCCAGCTCCGACCAGCGTCATCCCAGCAGCAACCCTTGGTCGTCCCTTGGGATGCCCAACCAAAGCATCCCCAGATCTCTCTACCAGGCCTCAAGCTCCTGCATCAGCAGGTTACAGGGCAACACCCCAGCACCAGCCAGCGTCGTTCTTGCATCGAACGGCCACAGATCACTGAGTATAACAGCATCGAAACCGCCTAAGATGGATTGCCAAAAAACCCTAAAGTCCTAAAACATTCATAAGAACAATTGACTTTTTTTCCTTCAGACTCTACCAAGTCAATAGAATATGTGTGTCAAAAAGCCTCCCCATCACGAATCAGATAGGTGAAACCTATTCAATCCACCTACGACCACCACCAGCATGGCTAATTTCAGCACGAACCGAAGCTCTTCCAGGCCTCATGCTCCCATCAGGTTAGGTTACAGAGTTGCACCACCTTGCTCCACCACCGACCAGCATTGCTCCAGTTACGACCCCCGATGACCACTGGGACTGCCCCCGCAAACAGCCCCCCAGAGCTCTCTACAAGGCCTCACGCCCCCACTAAGCTAGGTCACAGAGTTGCGCCACCTGGCTCCGGCTCCGGCCAGCGTTGCTCCAGCATCGGTCTTCGAGGGCCACCAACTTTTCAACCACCCCTCGCAGGATCACATATGGCTGCCAGATAACACCTATTCCTACAACCTCCTCGAGAGGCAACCAAATAGAAAGCTATAGACTGGATGATAGATTTCTTCGAGAGAGATCGCCCCTCCCTCCCCCTACCCCTTTCCCCTCAGCCCTACACTGCCTCCGCCGAGGAGAGTCACCCACTATCCCTCGGCCCCAATATAGGACCAATCCTCCCCCCTCCTTTCCCCAGGAGCATGCAGTTCCCACCTAAAGCATGCCCCCCCGCCCCTTGCCCGTTTCCGCCTCCGCAGGGACTGATGTTGACCCACACACAGTCCCTGCCCCAGAATAAGGCAACCCCCTACTCCGCCCCTACCCTCTTTGAGACATTCACCCCCCACCTTGTGATGCCCCTGCAGGATAGAGCTCCCCCCACCCCCTTCCCACCGTTCAGTCCTCCGGGAACAATCCCATCCAGCCGACTACAGTTATTGATGACACACTTACCAAAATATCATTCGCTTGGATTTTGTGATTTTGTTGGATTTTGTTGGATTTTGTTGATGGCGATGGACAACACCCTGAAGACGATGATAATGAGAATGATGGTGACAACCAACTCACCTGCTGATGCAGAGCAACATCTAATGAAAACAAGCTGATGATGGTGATGAGAATGATGAGAATGAAAACGGAATGATGATGCTGATCATACGAAAGAGCAGCACCAACAACCCCTATGATTACAAACTGATGATGATGATGATGATGATAATAATGATGATGATAGCGATGATGATGGTGATGTCGATAATGATGATGATGATGATGATGAAGATGATGATGATGTTGATGATAATGATGACGCACTGATGATGATCATCATAATCATGATGATGATGATGGTGATGTCAGTAATGATGATGATGATGATGATGATAAAGATGATGACGCACAGCGCCCTATGAAGACTACAAGATGATGGTGGTGTGATGACGAGCACCTTGGATGATAACCTAAAGATGATGATGATGATGATGAGCAACGCCCTATGATGACGTCAAACTTTGCCAACCGTGCCGTATGATAGAGAGATATTTGACGATCAACAATGAGTGACGAGCAGCACCCCTGATGCACGGCTCCTTGATAATAGTGATGATATTAGTGCTGAACAGGACTGAAGACACACGCCTTGATGATGATGACGAGCAGTACCCTGATGCTGATGATGGTGATGACGAGCAGCGCCCTGTTGATGATGACAAACCATTACCGTGATGTTTATGTCAAATCACGCCCTGTTGATGATGATGGTGACGAGCAGCACCCTAATGATGATGACGCCGATGCTGGTGCTGGTGGTGATCAGCGAGAGTGCCACAGATGACAGAGATGTATACAAAACTGAAATCAACGCACTCGATATCGCCTCCAATCCTCCTCCCACTCCACGTAAGCACGCGCTCCTCCTTTCCGTCTGCGTCATACCAACCGCCTACCACAACACTACGCAGACCAAGGAGCAAAAGCCATAAGAAGGCTGAACTTCTCAAGGAGACCCACCTCCTCTCAAAGGCAAGTTCCCCTTCACCCAACGTGCTAACCTGTAACACCACTGGATGAAGCGCAAAGCTGGAGATGGCACCGAAGTGCTTTCAAAAGGCAGGCAACACCGAGTCACGCTCCATCCTCCTGCCCTCCCACTGTCCGATCTCTACTTCATCACTACCCCATCACCAAGGCGCAGTCACGCCAAAACTGCCGACGTCATACTCAGCCGCCACTTCGCGCTCGCGTGTTTCCAACCTGTAGGGCGCCACAGGACTGCCCGTTTGAGAGTGCCAACCCGGCGGGGCGCAGCGCTCCCGGAAGCGCTGCGCCCCAGACGCACATACACCGAGACAGTCTTCCCGGCAACAACAACAACAACACCCCAGTCATGTGGTTTCTACTTTTCCAGAAAGGCTTTTTTTTTTTTTTTTACGCAACCCCCCTGGGTGATGCTAGGAGTGCTGATAGGAGCAGGCACCACTAGCACACCCGGGCTGGGTCCATCTATTATTTTGGCAATACGGAAGTGGTGGTTTATGGTGCGCCATGTAAGGCAAATGCAAAGACGGAAAAAAAAAAAAAAAAAAAAAAAAAAAAAAAAAAAAAAAAAAAAAAAAAAAAAAAAAAAAAAAAAAAAAAAAAAAA